TCTATATCCATTATTGCGTATCTAATTAGCGTTGGCACTTTTGTGAGTTTTGTTATGACTAATTTATTTATTACTCTCCAGTTATCTCCGATCTCTTTCTATTTTTTGCTTATTCAGGAATAAAATATGCACTTTTAGGATGGCACTTATGAACATTTAGTGTATTATTCGTGAGCAAGCCGTGAAGTAAAGTAGACGTTATCAAAGTGAATTTCTTCAAAGACAATTGTTTTTTATTTTTTACAAATATTATTAGTGTCAACATATAAAAACGTTTTTGTTTTATGGTGTATTTTTATAGAGAGTAAATTGGATTTTTAGTGTATAAAAGGTATGTTTTCTAATGTTGAAATAAGGAATGTTGGGCTATGTGCTGCACCTTGTTTTGAAATTTACCATACAAAAGAAAATTTTGAATAGTTTTAGTTTATTATATATTTTTCAGCTAATAAATATTATTATTATATTATTACAAATTTAGGTAAAATTAAATATTTTTCAGTTTTTTTTTCGTCTCCTCCTTCCCCTTCAAAATAGTAACTGGTAATTGAAAAACAGTACGATGGGTACAAAATTCGATCTGCAATGCGATTCAATATTCACTATAATTATTTATCCACCATTTTTATTGAATTTTTAGTAATTTTTGCATTTTTTTTACATATTTATTGAAATTAAGGTCCAAATATGTATTTTCTTAGATGAAAAAAATTGATTTTTTTTGGTCGGTTTTTTTTAAAATTGTGCATTAAGGGGTTAAAAAGCTGAGGGTGATGGAGCAATTCGGTTTTCGGATTCTTGTTCGGAGAGTGAAGCTCTACAAGAATTTCATAGTGGCTATTGGAACCCAGAAAAAAAGTTTGATTTTGTCGGACAGTTTAATAGAAGGGTTCACTCACCGGTGACGACCACGTTAATCTTTTTAACCATCGGCGGATGCGTCGTAATTTGGCACTTGTACAGGCCGGAGTCCCTCGGGGACGCGTACCGTATCTGTAATCTCCAATTGCTCGGGTACCTGGAGGATCAAACAGACAGAAAATTTCATTTGCCTGTGATCGACCGCGACGCCGGTATCGGCTGCGACGTACCAGCCCCTGAGAATGAGAGCGATTCGCGTCAAAACGCTCGGAAAATCGAGTCACCTCCATCTTCCACCCTTACGTCGACGTTCGCCTCCCCGGCTTTAGTTTCCGACTATGAAATCTGACTGATGGACGCATCGATTTCGGTGTGTCTCAGCGGCTGGCGTTCGTCCGTCGTTCACAGACATTTCAAACTTTTATTAGCCCTTTGCGCTCGAGTGGTCCGAGATCATTTTTATGTTGTCAAAGTTCAGATTCGATTGCGTGAACATTATATTTTAGAACGCGATGCAACAATGTTTGTCAGCGGTGCCTCGGAGCCACCGCACGACTGCAAAGGGTTGAAACGTATGAAACGTAGAAAATTGTTCGTAATCGTCGCAACGTTTTAACCCTTTCGCTACTACGGGTGACTATAGTCACCCGCCACAAAACGACACCTGCATACGATGGGTGACTATAGTCACCGGTCACAACAATGGAGCCAAAAGTTAAAACAAGGGCTATCTCCTCGCTTTCCTCTGTTCGCAGACGCTATCATCTACCAAAAACTACGATCAATTGTAATAAATCTGGTCATATTAATCCAACGTTTTCGAAGCAAAAGACTTGGCCCCGAATGCTGAAGACTGCGCGCGCTTAACCCGAGAAAGATAACCTACGTCGCAGAGGCGCCTGCGAAATAAACAACTGACTGCACCGTGGATGACGCAAAGACTGGAAGCACCCACTTTGCCAAGGCATGTGCGAAGCAACATTGAAAATATTCTTCCAAAATCTGCTGTACAGGCTTCCACAGATGATGAAGAAGAACCCTCAGCCAAAAAAAGGCGTTATTGCAGTCTTTGCACGTCTAAAAAGAAAAGAATGTCAAAGATGACCTGTGCCAAATGCCAAAAGACAGTTTGTGGTGAACACAAGAAAGACGTTTGTCATGACTGTCTCTAAAGAAATTTTTTATAATATTATAGTTTTTTTTACACTGATTATATTATAGTCTACTAGTTTGTAAGGATAAAACACTATTTTTTGTGATATTTTACGGGATTTGTTCCCATAAACCAAAGACTGTTGATTTTTGTTAATTTTTCATAGAGGTCTAGTGATTTAAGTTTAAAATTACTTAAAATATAAAAAAATATAATATAAATGCATTTTATTTTTACAATAATGCCAAACCTTTAAAATGACTAGATTAACTTAAATAAATATCCATTGTTAGTATAAAATTGACGTCTTAGAAAAGCATGCGCCTCTGAAGCGTATGGTTATCTTTTACGTACGTTGTCATATGGTTATCTTTCTAGGGTTAATGTTCCTGCTTTCGGCAGGGTGCTCCGTTCTACACGAGGGACTCCGCGGCGAGGCCCGCCGTAGCGAAAGGGTTAAGGAAGCATTTTGAGGCACGCGAATATTAATGAATAGACAGCGGACTGTACGCGTTTATGAGAACAATGAGCAGATGAAACCGCGAAACAGCGAAAACAGTCGAAGATTTTAGAAACACGATGGAGCCTCTCTTATCTGAACGTTTATTTGTCTAATAATTAATTCTAATAATTACGAACAATTTTCTACGTTTCACACGTTTCAACCTTTTGCAGTTGCGCGGTGACTCCGAGGCACCGCTGAAAACATTGTTGCATCGCGTTCTAAAATAATGTTCACGTAATCGAATCTGAACTTTGACAATATAAAAAATTATCTCGGACCACTCGAGTGCAAGGGGCTAATAAAAGTTTGTTTCAACTTAAATTTTACTTTCGTATAATCTAATACAAAAGTATATTCTATTATGTAAAAGTTTCATTCGAGTTCTCTACTGGATGATAATGTATCTGAATAATACAATGCTTAGATAATAAAACGGTTGGATACCAAAACATCGTCAAAATAAATGTTCGGATAAGAGAGTCTCTACGGTACTTTTACATATTGTTCAACTTACTATATTCGTTAACACGTTCCGTGCCACGTGTACCATCGATGGTACACGCTTGCATGTTTACTTAGTGAACTGAACAAATTGTTTACAAGAAATTTAGAACCGAAGAATCAATTTCCACCGCAAGAATGGGCGTTGATAAGTTTTTGTTACGTTGTTATGTGCACGAGAATTAATAATTGCACGTAATACATCAAGTTTTAGTAAAATATCAAAGTGTGAAGATTCGAGTAAGAAAAGCTCGGCACGGAACGTGTTAACAGAGGAAATATATTTTCACTCGACTTCTGTCTATTGCAATCGACGCAGGCAATTTTTATTTTGCATAAAAATCCGCTGTCTACCAATAAATAAAATCGTACAAATTTTCGAAATTTCGTCCCGTTAGTTTTCTCGGCAGAATCGTCTACAATTAGAAAACGAATGAGCAAAATTAAGAAACTACAATTAGAAAACTACAGTTAAAAAACTACAATTAAAAAACGCGCGCGCGCGAAAAAATAAACAACGAAAAATCGTCTACAATAAAAATCGTACGGTAGACGATTCGGTGCTGTCACTTGCGACTAGAACGGGTTCCACGGCACCGATAGCAAATCGTTAACGATCGTACCGATCGAAAGTACGTCGGCGTAATTTCTCTTACCGGAAATTGAGGCTGATCCTTTGGTCGACGCTGTACGTGTTCCTGCCGACGGTGAGCAGCCTGAACGAGTCCTCGCTGTGCTGCTGCAGCCACGCGACCTACGGCAGAAAACATTCGGCTTTATTGCCTCGTAAATCGCGGACTCGAGCGGACAATTTGAAAAAAAGCCGTGCCATTGTATCGAGGGATAAAACGGGACGGGATCTCGTCGAAAATTAATAATTTCGCGGCGAACGATCGAGCCGGCGCGCAGTGGTATAAAAGCTCGAAATCATGGTCAAAATCCAAAAACTCGAAGTTGTCGTTGGGGAGCTTTTCACTTACGGATTGGTTAGTTTAATGACGCGTCCGTGTGTTGGGTAACACGAAATGACCCATACTTTTATACCTGAATGGCAATTACACTTCGAATTTCGAGTTTTTCGGGCAGTCTTTACTCGCGAGCGAGAGCGACGGTACGAAGTGAATAGTTTAAAGCGTGTATGTTTTTGTGGAAGTGTTTTTTTTCAATTGCGTAAAATGGATATTGTTCCTGGTAGTCAGTACAACAGTTTGTACCGCTAACATCTCACGAATCGTTAACTATTACATTAGTAAATCGATAAATTGGAGATTCAAATTATAAGAGCAAATGGAGTGTATTTACTGTAAAGTTATAGTCGAAACTTTTGCGGCCTATGAGGGCCTGCTTTCAAATTTACAGGAGCCATAGTTTATAGTTTCATCTAGCTGCACTTAAAAAATTGGCTGCATCGCGTTGCACTTTTTTCAGTTACAACCATTTTTGCGAGTCAACGTACGGGAAACTGTCTCGCGAGAGTATCTAAGACAGAATAACTTTCTAAAAATCGTGCCAAATTGCTTACATTGTTTTGATATGTTAGAAAAAACGCTTTATTAGACAATGTCGAAAATTATTTTGAAAAAGAATGAAATTTGTTAGATTGAAAAAAATGTTTCAATTTTTGATTTTCTATTTTTAGGATCTCGTGACAGACGATACTGTCCAGCTAGGAAAGAAGTGATCCTTATTATTAAAAAAAACTTAAATAGTGACAATAATTCGATAATAGAATATTTTAAGCAAAAAACAAGGGAGCTGTATACAGGACCTTTGGCTTCGTAGCCGATCGACCTTCCCGCATAGCCACGGAACATTCCTCATTTCCCAATTTTTCAACAACCCATCCGCTATATTTGATTCGCTATTTTGTTTCTGGAATTTTTAAATTCAGATTCGTAATCAGGATTTCCGCAGATATATGTTCACCAATTTTGGTTAAAATCAAATCATTTTTTCAACAACCCGTCCGCCATATTTGATTCGCCATTTTGTTCCTGGAATTTTTAAATTCAGATTCGTAATCAGGATTTCCGAAGATATATGTTCACCAATTTTGGTTAAAATCAAATCATTTTTTCAACAATCCATCCGCCATATTTGATCTGACATTTTGTTTTTCGAATTTTTAAATTCTGATTCGTAATCAGGATTTCCGAAGATATATGTTCACCAATTTTGGTTAAAATCAAATCATTTTTTCAACAACCCATCCGCCATATTTGATCCGACATTTTGTTTTTCGAATTTTTAAATTCAGATTCGTAATCGGCGACCATGAAAACCCTTACATACAAATTTTCAAATAAATCCGTCGCTATTTCTTATTTTGACCATGATCTCGAGCTTTTATACCACTGTGCGGCGCGACGTCGCCTCGGGTCTTCCGGCGGCCGGCAATAATTTCTCGTTCTCCTGGAAAACCGTCGCGGCCGGCTTGCTTTTCTCGTCGCGTTTCCCGAGGCCCGATCGCCTTCTTGCCGCGGTGTTCCCGGCGTACGTGTCGAGTGTCGCGATGGAGGGATAAAGACGCTCCGAGTTTATCTGGCTTTGTCTACCTGGCCGCCGCCGGATTGCGATTTCGAGCACCGCGGGGCTCCGCGAAAGGGTTTCCCGCAGGATACGTCGGGCCCCGTCAAAGCTTTGTGTCCAATCATCGATCCGTTCGAATGGATCGCTCAAAGTATCCAGGTTACCGTCGCCCGGACAAAGGGGAGATTGATGATTACACTGATGGATTTAATGGGAAACTCCGGATGTAATCTCCAGCTAATTAGTATCGATCGCCCGCGGACCCACTGTCGCGAATATTTGACGGCCCGACGGCGGACAATGAGCTTCGATTTTTCCAAGACACGCGCTTCCAATTCCCACTCGTCCGTGGCTCGCGGACATTTTTAATGACAGCGTTCGCCCCGGTGCTCGCCGGTCTTTTTTACGAAGGTTATTACAGCGAACGTTTTCCCGAGAACGTCATCGGTCGTAAAAGATGATAATGGCTTTCGAATTAGCGCTGTTCATTCTTCGGCACGGTAACGACGACGCGATAGAGTTGCCTTTGTTTGTTACAATTTGGACGATCGTTCTTTATGGCACGTCGCGCTCTCGAAGAACACAAAGGAACGTAATAATTATCGCAACGATTCGATAAGAATATGGAACAATCAAGGAGTTCGACGAGTCGTCGTTGGAAAATATCTTCCTGCCGCGTCGTAATTGGTAATAATAACTTTATTGATCGACGGGATAGCCCTTTGTTACAGCGAGAGAATAATTACGCGGCAGTGGCGCAAGAACGAATAAAATACGAAAACTTGAAAATGGAAAAATGCAAAAACAGTAAAGTATAAAATATCGAAGAAACGAGGGCATAAAGAACGCGAGATAGAAGAACGTGAGAAAAAATATGTGAAATTTAATTCGATTGTGTAAGCGACGACGAAGACGAAATTATAATTAAGAAGAAGAGAAGCTGGACTGAAAATGTAGAAATTACGATTAGAAAGAAATTGGAAACTTCAGTCCTCGTGCAAACGACCAGCGTAATTTATGACTCTTCTTCGAAGAAGCTATTTTTGAGATGATAAGTCCCAAATCTTGACTACGCATGTTCGCAATAGAGTTTTTTTTTAGATACCTCAATAGCTAACGGAGATCGTCATAAATTAGGAGAGTTTCCGAAGGGTACTCGAAGCGGACCCAGCGACCCAAGGGCCACGTGGTCCGACGCGGGTGACCCGGAAGAAAAGCTCCACACGTTGTCACGTACAGCTCATTATCCCCTCCGATTACCACGCCGTCCCGAAAATACGCGAAGAGCAAAATGAAGGGCAAAATGAACAACGCCGATTGGGAAGGCCCAACGCGCGGGGTTAGCCAATCAGGGTTGTTCAAGAATTTTACCAGGGCAAACGGCGAAGGAAAAACAAAGACTCGGTCACTGCACCGCGACTCGTCGAGAGACAAAGTCCGCGAAAGCATAAAGAAGTATTCCACCGCGCAAGGAGTGTACAAGTCCTTTCGAACTATCCTACCCAAAAAATTATAATTAGAGAGAAGGAACGAGATAAATGAAAACATAGAGCGCAAGAAACGCTGGAAACTGAAAACGTAGAATAGAAATCTCCCCGATTCCGCTCCATTTCCCGCGAAATCGCGTTCGAATTCCGGTCGAGTACGTCGAATAGAACCTGGCATGTCTGACCATCGCGCGCCCATTCTACTTACCGATTCACCTAAATCTACGATCGGACAATTCTGCAAAGCCGAGCGCGTCAGAAAATACCGCATTGAAAATATCTGCACGGTGTTTCGCGCGCGGAAACTGGCAGCGTGTGATTCAGGCCGCAAATTATTACTAATTCGGCAGATTTAGCGGGAAAAACCGCGAAGTGCTCGAGCGATTTGTCAACGGTCGGCAATCCGAGCGTTCGATGTACCGATGAAGGTGTAAACGCCGCGTGTATCTCATCGCCGGCAGCACGAATGCCCTGCAGACATCGTAATGTCTCGTCGGCGGGGTAATCGTGTAACGTATTGTATTTTAAACGGCCGCCGCGGGCCGTTCACACTCGATTAATTAACAAATCCGGGGATTCGACCGGGACATTTGCATAAAACGACGGCCGTTTAACGGCGTATAATTTCCCCGGGCCTGGTCGAACGCGAATCGTTTTCGTAACCGGGGCTGTAACGGGCCGCGCGACGGCTATTATCGAGCGTGTTCGAGCGTGTTCGTGCGTGTTCGGCCGTATTCGAGGGCGTACTCGCTCGCGGTGTCGTTTGATCTATTAAACTCGGCCGAAATTCATCAACCGCCGTTGTGTTTTTCGTTAGTTTGCGTCCCAGACGAGAGCGAAGAGTTTGATTTTCTTTTGTTTTTCTTTACGAAACTTCCAGCAGAATACTTTGAATTCCACTTTTTGAATTCTCGACGAGCAAATTCTCGCGTACAGATCGTAGAATAAGCGTGTCAATTAATTAATTGGCTATTAAAGTGAGATTAGGAGTTTCGGACAAATTTAGTGGTTTAATTATATTTAATTATATAATCTGTGGGAGCTAGATCTGGCGAGTATGGAGGATGATGAAGAAGTTCCAATTCCTATTGTCTTGCCACGGTCATTTGCGCAGTGTGTGGTCTGGCGTTATCTTGCAGTAAGATAGGAGTCGATCTGTTGACCAATCTAGGCTGTTTTTTTTTAAAGTTCTAGCATCATTTTGTCCAGTTGCTTAAAGTATATTTCTGCTGTGATCGATGAGCCTGGTTTCATGAACTCGTAATGAATTACACCTGCACAAGTCCACCAAACACTGACCATCAACTTCTTCTGA